TTTTTTTTTTTTTTTTTTTTTTTTTTTTTTTTTTTTTTTTTGAACCATGTGTGCCATTGCTTGTGGGGGTTTGAGCTACACTTTGTGGAATAGATATTTTTCTTGTTTACTTTTAGCCTCGCAGCTTCAGCGCGATGGAGTTGGACAAAACTCCTCTCCCACCTTTTCTCTGAAGCCTCCACACACTCCCCCCACTTCGTCCCCCCACACACCCCAAAGACTTTTCAATACAATTAACCCCCACCCCATTCTCCGGAATATAATATTGCAAAAGGAGACAAAAGACACTGGAAGTTGCTGCAGATATCATAGCGACTGGATTTGTTCAATACCGATGTTTCATTTTTATTTTATTTGATTTTTTTTTTAAGGGGTGGACTCTATACAGAGACCCCCCGTGATTTTTATTTTGGTTTATTTTTTCAAGTCCTTTTTCGCACAACTTCTTAACCTCGGAGTCCTCCGAGAAGTACAACTTTCTTTTTGGTCTTTTCCACGTGAAGATGGTTTGGTGTTTTTTGAGTTTCAGGACTTCAGCAGAGGGAATAAACAGATGTTTGGAAACTTTAGACAGGACAAGGGGTGGGTTGTTTGGAAGGATGAGTGGTTTGGGGGTTCTTAATTTTTTATTTTATCTTTTTTTACCTTTAGTTATATTTGGGGACTGCTGGAGGGGGAATCGTATTACTGGAATGAAGTCACAGATCATATACGCATATGGAGCACTAGTCCTACATTTTTAATTATGACATTTAGCGTTTCTCCCTCACACACAAATCCCCTTCCCCCTTCTTGATAGTTACTGGGAATAGACATGATCTGAGTGAGAAACGCTGGAACATTTCTAATCCGCGGTGGGGGAAGGGGGCACATCTGAACCTTAGTTTAGAACTGTGTGCATTTTGGTTTTATTTTATTTTGGAGTGTGTTTGTGCTCCTTTTATTTTATTTAAAAAAAAAAAAAAAAAGAAAAAAAAAAAAAAAAAAAAAAAGGTCCTCTTTTTTGTTGTTTTTATTTCATTCCGCTTGTAGGACCGGCATGATGGAGTGCCCAGCCACAGTTCCAGGCTGTCCCAGCTGGGATCCGTCTCCCAGGGACCCTACTCCAGCGCTCCTCCGCTCTCTCACACCCCATCCTCGGATTTCCAGCCGCCTTATTTCCCACCCCCCTACCAGCCTCTTCCTTACCACCAAAGCCAGGACCCTTACTCCCATGTCAATGACCCCTACTCCCTAAACCCCTTACATCAGCCCCAGCAGCACCCCTGGGGACAGAGGCAGAGGCAAGAGGTGGGATCAGAGACCGGGTCACTGCTGCCACAGCCTCGGGCCGCCCTGCCCCAGCTCTCGGGACTGGACCCCAGGCGGGACTACCACTCAGTAAGGAGGCCAGATGTCCTTCTGCACTCCGCTCACCATGGCCTTGACTCCGGCATGGGGGACAGCCTTTCTCTGCACGGCATCGGACACCCAGGGATGGAGGAGGTCCAGGTAAGGCACCGCGTTTCTTTCTCCTGGGCGATGCAGATGCCATCCAGGCTGGAGCCCCCATCCCTCGGCTAGAAATGAGCAGTGAGGGTTTTCCAGCAATATTAGCGTGGGTTACCATCCTTTTTCCGCGCTGGGATTGTAACTGATACTCCTCGCCTTTTCTTTTTCTTTATTTATTCTTTTTTTCTTTTATTGATTTTTTTTTTTTTAAAGAGAAATTATTTCATTGCTATCACGCACAGGCTCCGCTTTATAAACCCTCCCCTACATGGCAAGCCAACAGAGTACAGGGAGAAGGCAGACATACTGCTCTAAATACTCCACGTGTTTCCAAAACTGGCAGAGTTTAAGCCTGGCTTTCAAATTCCTGTTATTTCCCATGCAATCTCAGCTCACACACCACCACCACCCCCCGCCCCCCAGCCAATTTCCTGCATTTTGATGAAACTGTCAGATTACTACATTTTTCATCCAGGAGAGGGGGGAAATATAAACAAAACCCAAACCAAAAGCAATAACCAGTGATCAGGAACAAGCGTCCCCCCTCCCCCACCCCCTTTTTTTTTTTTTTAATTTTTTT